ATAGATAGATAGATAGATAGATAGATATAGACAGACAGATAGATAGATAGATAGATAGATAGATAGATAGATAGATAGATAGATAGATAGATAGATAGATAGATAGTAGAGCTGCACGATTCTAGATAAATTGAGGATCACAATTTTTTTTGTCTCAAATAGAGATCACGATTCTCCCACAATTCTGAACTAAACAAAATAATGTGTGGCAAAATAGTATTGCTGCAGTCTATTTAAAAGTGTTTAATTAATTTGAATGAATTATTAAACATTTTAATATACAGTACACTACCAGTGCCAATTAGTTGATTGCAAAATTAATACTTTTATTTAGCAAGGATCCTTTAAATTGATCAAAAGTGATGATAAAGACATTTATAAAGTTACAAAAGATTTCGATTTCAGATAAATGTTGCTTTGAAATCACAGGAATAAATTACATTTTAAAATATATTCAAATAGAAAGTTGTTTTAAATAGTAAAAATATTTCAAAATGTTACTGTTTTTGCTGTACTTTGGATCAAATAAATGCAGGCTTGGTGAGCAAAAGAGACTTATTTTAAAAAAACATTAAAAATCTTACGGTTCAAAAACTTTTGACTGGTAGTGTATATGCATTTAAAATATAATATATGTAATACACCAATTTAATATTAAAATTATGAAAAAGTTGTTTGAATCAGTGATTCAACGACTCACTCATAAACCTACTGGATGAATCAGCGTTTTTGAATGATACTCTTGAATAAATGATTCATTCAATAATACATTTTTAAGTCACAATGCGATCGACACAAACGTTATGTGGCAGTTACTTTCAAATGCGGATTTGCTCTATTTTGGTCGCGTTACCATAGACATCAATGTTTATATCTGAATTATAAACTTTCATCCCAGTATTTCTGTGATAATATGAATGACTGTACACTCTTAAAAATAAAGGTGCTTCAAAAGGTTCTTTAAGCGATGCCATAGAAGAACCATTTTTGGTTCCACAAAGAACCATTTAGTCAAAGGTTCTTTAAAGAACCATCTCTTTCTTACCTTTTTATAATCTGAAGAACCTTCTTTCGCCACGAAGAACCTTTTGTGAAACAGAAAGGTTCTTCAGATGTTAAAGGTTCTTTATGGAACCATTTAGACAAAAAGGTTCTTCTATGGCATCGCGAAGCACCTTTATTTTTAAGAGTGTACGACAGAAATAATACTGTGTAGTTGAAAAGACTGTTTGTGAAGCTGTTTCTTAACCAAAGATGGTAACTGCTCTCTGTGTGTCAGCGGCGCTGCGAATGCAGATTTGAATGATCCGGTAAGACTTTGTCAAAGGTTTAATAGACACAGGAGAATCGTTGTGATTTAGAAATGAGTTTGTGTGGTTGTCTGAAGCGAGATCGCGATCTTTTAACGATTAATCGTGCAGCTCAGATAGATAGATAGATATATCAGGCTTTACAGAGTTAATTACCTGGATGAAAAGGGAAATTACTTGTGGTACCCTTGGTGCATGAATAGCCCTGAAAGTCCCCGAGCCTTTAGCATTCAATTTACTGTTGTTGAGCAGTTCATGGGAGGATACTGAGTTGCTCTTGATTGATACTTTTTTACTCTCCCTGGGCCAACTGAGTAAAAAAAAAAGTTTTCTTAGTCAGCAGTGTTCTAGACTTTACAGAGAAATGCTAATGGACCATCCATTAGCGTACATCTTACCATCCAACTCCTAACCACTTGACCATGTCTAATTAACTTAACATATGTTTTTCCGTCACAATGCTTGCTGTACAAGATTTTGATGATTAAAAAATGTATGCTGTTTTGATATTCACTCTAATATTAACAGTTATTGGCCAGTATAATATGCTATACTGTTATGCTCTGGATAACATAGATAGATTTTAGATCTGTTTTACAAATATTACTTAACAGTGTTACTGATGGTCCATCTCATTATCTCCATCTATTCCTTGACTATGAAGGTCAGTGGTGTGAACACGTCCATGAGCCGCAAAAGAGAGCACCGGGTTCTTCTCATGGTGACCACCATGGTGATCTTCTATCTGCTCTGCTGGCTGCCTTATGGGATCATGGCTCTGCTGGCCACTTTTGGAGCCCCAGGACTGGTGACTGCGGAGGCTAGCATAGTGCCCTCCATCTTAGCGAAGTCCAGCACGTTCATCAATCCCATCATCTACATCTTCATGAATAAACAGGTGAGCATAAAAAAGGGTGTAGTCCTAGGGTTTGACATAAAGCTTGGCTATAGTATAAAATGGAAGTACACAAATTTATCTTTTCATCTAATCATGTTTCTTCACTCAAAATGTGATCTGTTCAATGATCAGTTTCAACTTCTACTACTAATATAGTACATTTCAAGTTATATTAAGTAGCATGGGTGAACATCATATGCTTTCAAATAGTACATAACAGTTTTTACAGTTCACTTTGGCACTAATTTGAGAACCTTGATGTCATTTTTCTACTCTAGACACAAAACACCACCAATTTTTATGATTGCAGACACATGTAACCTAAGATCATAAAACCTAATATGAACCTAAAATTAGATGACTGTTTATTTATTTCATGACAATGATTTATCAGTTAAAACAGCTGCTCAAAATGATGCTATGCCCTATATGTAATTTCATAATAAAATTGTGATTTGAAGCAATAATTATGCAAGTGAAAGAATTATTTTTAGATTTGAATGGAGTGTTTTGATAATTGGACAGCCTGTGTTACAAATTATATCTGTTTTGAGTTTAGAGTTTTGCCAAATGACATCAAGGTCCTGGAATTAGTGCCAAAATGGCTGTCATATTTTAGCTTACATGACTGATTCCTGTTGCATATGGGGGACACACAGACGATCTCCAGCATAGTTGTGAGCCCCCTGGACCTGTGGACCCTATACGATCTTACCAAATAAAATGTACCTTTATTTATTTATTTATTTATTTAAACTTACTTCCATTTTAATTCTGCTTAATTAATTCAACTTACAATTCAGCATCTCATTTGCTACTAATTTTAGAAAAAAGCCTTCTCAATTCAATTATGAATTATGCAAAACCATGTGTAGCATTTAACACTAGAGATAAAAATCCTGGCTCTGGTAAAATCTGCTGTTTTTTTTTTGTGTGTGTACACATTCCGTGTGGACCTGCTCAAAACTGACTGATTCTCCAGATTTTTGCTTACCCACATGAACAGAAAGTAGCTCCATCAAAGCGGAGTGTGCTGAGCCATTCAGTTATGTTCCGAGTCTCCAGAAAGTGGGTGCCAGTGATGTTGTGGTCCAATCAATCTACATTGTCAGTTTGATAAAACTGATGCGACTGGTTTACTGGTGTACTCTCATGTGAAACAATCCAATTCATTGTTCTTGTTGCACCATCAGTCAAAGTGTCAGCTGTGCAATGTGGCACTGATGGAGAGGGTAAATAGTATTTATACAGGTAAATCAAGCTTCTGGCAACGGAGGAGAAGGTAGACTGTTAACAATCCCCTAACTCAAATAAATTTGACTCTGTTTGGCTCTAAGAGATGGTTTTTAGGGCAAATATGTTTTTTTCCCTTCTTGCAGAGTGTACCGATGTGTTGCCTTGATGCAGGAAAGCAGGTCTCACTGGAGAAAGATGGAATGCCATGCAAAGGTCATAACCGACCTGTCAGCTCTGTAGTTTGAAAACCACATCAGTTAGATGCTCAACTTCCTCTAAATCTCAGATATATTTCACTCTAGGCACCAGAGTCTGGTTTGATTGAAGGAGCTTGTCATTTGTCTTGTCTAGTGTTATGTACAAACCAAAGAGCACAACATAAAGTTTCACATTCCATGTAGCTACAGAATGGAATGCTAGTACATCCACACTGTGAAAATCAGCCTGCTTTGAAAGATTCCTTCCCTCAAGTCGCTTGTGTAGCCATTACAATTCTGATTAACTTTACCTGCTCATTATTTTCATTAGTGGTTCTTGCTAAGGTATTCCTTAACCAACTCGTTTCTGAACCCCTGCTGTACAGAAACATATTGGGGTGTGTTTCCCATTCTACTTAACCCGCTACATAACCACATAACAATGCATTGTTGGAGATATTAACTAGTAGTCTCGACTGTTTCCCCGAAACTAGAGTTACATGGTTGCGCCTTCAGCATCGGGACCACACTGGTTTAACAGTACAGGACTGTTGTTAATTACACCACAAATAGATGGTAAAGGAGTAACATCTGCGAATTAATCAATTCAAGATTGAAATTAATGTCCAATTACATACATGCAGTATGTAATTTCCGACTATCATTTACATTGTTTATTCAGCAGCTATCTCCACAACATAATTTTGTACACAACATAACATAATATGCTGCTGTCATGGAATCTGAGGACTACTTACTGTAAATATTTTTATGACCTGTCGTTTTGCTATATTATGATGTTTGATTCATCACGGGTTAATATTGAAATATTAATAATATTGCCAAAGTATCCACTACTAAGCAAGGAAAAAGGTGACTGTGACAAGGAACCTAAACTCAATCTGTGACAGAAATAGAGAAAACTACTTACTGTAAATATTTTTATGACCTGTCGTTTTGCTTTATTTTGATGTTTGAGTCATCACAGGTTAATATTCAAATATTAATAATATTGCCAATGTATTCCCTACTAAGCAAGGAAAAAGGTGACTGTGGCAAGGCACCTAAACTCAATCTGTGACAGAAATAGAGAAAACTACTTACTGTAAATATTTTTATGACCTGTCGTTAATTAATATTAGATATTAATTCTATTTGATATTAGAGTGCCATTACATACTGGATTGCTTAAATTTTTGCTGAAATCCGAGAGCTTTCTGACCTTGCTATGCTGTGAACCTGCTGACAGCAGTGAGAGGAAGTAATTTTCCGAGTAGTGTGTTCAACAATCGTTTCATGAGAAGTTTGTGAATAAATGGATTTCTTCACATATAAACCGATTAGGTTGTGGGTCATTTTGGAGGACACATGTGAAATAGTTTTTTGAGGACACTTCTTAAACCCACACAAAATAATAAAAAAAATCATGTAAAACCCAGTAAACATGAGATTATGTTGTGACATTAGAGCAACACATGTTAATATGATAGCATATGTATAACACTAAAGTGAACAGTACTCTCATACGTACCTTTTGTCACAGTAACCAGTTTAGCAGTCTCTGCACTACATTTCCCAGCATCCCTCTTGCCACTCACCTGCACTCTAGAGAAAACTACTTACTGTAAATATTTTTATGACCTGTCGTTAATTAATATTAGATATTAATTCTATTTGATATTAGAGTGCCATTACATACTGGATTGCTTAAATTTTTGCTGAAATCCGAGAGCTTTCTGACCTTGCTATGCTGTGAACCTGCTGACAGCAGTGAGAGGAAGTAATTTTCCGAGTAGTGTGTTCAACAATCGTTTCATGAGAAGTTTGTGAATAAATGGATTTCTTCACATATAAACCGATTAGGTTGTGGGTCATTTTGGAGGACACATGTGAAATAGTTTTTTGAGGACACTTCTTAAACCCACACAAAATAATAAAAAAATCATGTAAAACCCAGTAAACATGAGATTATGTTGTGACATTAGAGCAAAACATGTTAATATGATAGCATATGTATAACACTAAAGTGAACAGTACTCTCATACGTACCTTTTGTCACAGTAACCAGTTGAGCAGTCTCTGCACTACATTTCCCAGCATCCCTCTTGCCACTCACCTGCACTCTCTTGTCAATCACTCACACCTGGAATCTATCAGTGGATCCTCCTCACCTGTCGCTGCCAATCAAGCTCCCCATAAGAACACGCTCACTCCACAATCTCATTGTCTGGTCTTGCCATGTTTTGCACGACTTACCCGACTCACCTCTCTGTTTACGCTCCTTCAATTACTCCAGCTCCTGGTTCTCCAGCGCTCCACCGATTCTCTGCTCCTGGCAATCCTCCTGAAAGAAAGGAAAGAACACATTACCTTACCCAGTTAAAGGGGTCATATGATGCGATTTCAAGTTTTCCTTTCTCTTTGGAGTGTTACAAGTTGTTCTTAAATAGATAAGATCCCTAAAGTTGCAAAGACTAAAGTCTCAAACCCAAAGAGATATTCTTTATAAAAGTTAAGACTCATCCACGCCCTCCTAAAATGCCTTGTTTAAACACGCCCCCACATGTTTACACCACTGTGTGGGAAGATTTTCATAACGCTCAAATGTTCACGCAAAGAAAGTAGGTGTAACTTTGATTCTCGCTGTAGTATTGTTTCCGCTGCCGCCATGTCGTGGAGACACTGTGTGTTTCGTTGTGAAAGCGAAACTACTTTGTTTGGCCTTCAGAAATCAGTGGTTAAGTTGTATTTACAACACTGTTCCAGAACAGTTCAAACCAAATATTTAGATGTGTGCAACGCATTTTACGGAGAACGAGGACTGTTTCCTTGGAGAGTAGCCTACAATGCCGGTTTTCTGACAAATAATGCTGACTCATAGCCTGTAAGCATGTTTTCATATTTTAAGAATTTGCCACTAACTATTGAAATGCAAGTTTTGAGCAGTGTAGACTAGCACTTGTTGTTTGTCATTTCTCCGATCACAAATGCAGACATGGTTTTATGTTTACGTGGCACGATGCAAAGCGTAACAAGACAGTAAGTCAGTCATTATAATCAGTAATTATGTCCCCACTGGATGCTACAAATGCCTCATTTGTATTGGGTTTTCTCTCGTCTCACCGGGACACGGCATGAACGTATGGTAAGGGGCGTAACATTTCCGTCACACTCTTGAGGTATTCGGCCAATCACAATTGTAGCAAATTAGCTCAAAAGGGAAATGTATATAAATAATTACAGTTAATTATGATTAATCACAATTATTTATATCAGCTGCCAGTAGTAACTGTAGCAGAATTAAATTGCCATCAACCAATCTGTTCGTCCAGCTAACATTGTGTAAGTTCATATCAACTCTAGGAAAGGGGAGAATGAAGCTATGAAAAGAGTTAGTTAACCACCTGAGTGAAACCATCAGCACCGTTTTAGAACGGGGTCTACAGCTGATACTATCATCATTTTGTCTGTTTCGTTTAGTTAAATGTACGATACTTGCATTGCCTTGGCCTGGAACGAGCGTACGGATGCAGTCTCGGATGAAAGTCTTGATGGTTTGGAGATTCGGTGGTGTAGGAGTTGTGATCACCACCTTCCGGGTTTGAAGAGTGATGAACTCCAAAGATGTTTTGACTCGATGGTGATTGGGAGTTTCTTCCCAGTGGAAAATGAAAAAGAGCTAAGAGAGACATCAGCTGAGATCCTAGGATCTTTGGTAAATGGAAAGACAAGGCCACAGGCCTGGCAGGAACTTAGGGTGTCCTTAGAAGGGTGCTAGCTCACATCCTCATCTTCTCCGTATCTAGCAGAACAGCAGACTGACTGAGGCGGTTCACTGATGTGAGAGCTTTATCTCCTAATGAGCTCACACCTCCGGGGCATCAAAGAGCCAATGGTGTCTTTAACTTTTGGAGGGAAAGTTTATTTGGGTGTTGATGCACAAACTAGTAAAGATTCTTAGAACATTAATATGTCGGAGTCCAGTGCAGGCTCCAGTCCCTTGAGCGGAGTCCAGTGCAGGCTCCAGCCCCTGAGCAGAGTCCAGTGCAGGCTCCAGCCCCTGAGCAGAGTTCAGTGCAGACTCCAACCCCTGAGCAGAGTCCAGTGCAGGCTCTCACCTCAGAGCTCTGCCAGGATTCTGCTCTAGTCCAGCGTCCGCTCCTCCAGAGCGCCTCCCAGTGTTCCCTGCTCCTCTATCTGAGCACAGCCTGGATCCGGCGTTCTTCACAGAGTTAAGCCAGGGGTGCTTTCTAGTTCATATATCTGGTACCACTCCTGCCCCAGTCCAGGAATCCATCCCAAGGAATGCTGTCCCTAAACCAGTTCCAGAGAGTGAGAGGTCCGACTCTGCTCCGGAGAAGGAATGCCCTAAGTTCTCTCCTGAGAGTCGAGAGATGGTTCTAACCCCTGACCAGAGTTGGGAGATGGCTCCAAATCCCGAGGTCTACCCTGAGAATGTTCCAGGTCCTGAGTCTAGCACAGAGAGGGCTTCCATTCACAAATACTGCCCTGGACCAGCTTTACTATCTGAGCACAGTTCAGTGCCGACTTCAGTCTCGGAACACCAAACCGTGTCCGCTCTCATCCCAGAGCTCAGCCAAGATCCTGCTCTCAGTAATGAGTTCAGCCAATCTCCTGATCATGCTCTAAAATTAAGCCAAGAATTTGCTCAAGCTCATAAGTTCCCCCCAGAGATTGCTCCTGACCTTGAATCTGCTCCAGAGCCTGTCCCATTTCACGAGTTAGTTTTAATGATTACTTCTGTCCTGAAGGCCAAGGTGAGTGTCCTGCCATGGCCAGGGAGGCTGTCTGTGAACCTGCTGCCTACCCTGTCGCAGTTGTAGTGGCCGTTGGTAATGTGTCTGTGCCCTATGTTCCAGTTACACCTGCTCCTCCCTGGTGGACCTCGGCTCTGTCTGCTCCGCCCTGGTGGGCTTCAGCTTCATCTGCTCCGCCCTGTCTGTCACAGTCACCAGTTTAGCAGTCTCTGCACTACACTTCCCAGCATCCCTCACCTCTCTGTTTACTCACCTCCCAAGTACTCCAGTGATCTTCTCCTGGTTCTCCAGTGCTCCACTGATCCTCTGCTCCTGGCAATCCTACTGAAAGAAAGGAAAGGACACATTACCTCACCCAGTTAACCTCCCTATCCATTTCAGTTACCGGAATACTTCTTTGCACATCAATGTCTTGTCTGCACCTGCCTCAGCCTTCATTAAACCTGCTGTTAAATTGGCATACCCTTGTGTCCTGTCGTGTTTGCTGACACCTTTTTTTTTAATCCATTAAATATTTTCTTTTAATTAATGTTTGTATTGAACACGGACCATTGCTTTATTCATTATTTCTGATATTGCAGGCTCATTTTGTAAATGTAAGCATTTTAAATTTTAAACAAGTGTAAACTTGGTGCTTAATGAAAAAACTGTCACATTTACAAAATCAGGTGATTGTGTTCACTCAGGTTACGTGTCTGTTAATTTTCTTTTGACCTAGTTCCCTTCTGAGGGAACTTTGAACTGTGTCCTCTAGAGGTCACTATGGGGAACGCCTTTGGTGTGACAAGTGTCTGAATCATACATCTAAACACGACAATAACATTGGCCGACGACAGCTTATGACACCTTTACTGGCGCAACCACAGTATAAAAGTGTGCTGGAAGAACGCGTTATCCTCTTCTTTGTCTTCACTGACCATTTGTTTATGTTAGGGATAAGCTAAGAACGACTAGGAGTGCGAGAGCCAGAGGCTTTATTTCTTGTGAGGGATAAATGTCCTCAACTCAAGAGGAGATGGTTTGTGCTCATTGTGATGCATTCGCGGGACTACTGAGGGGGAGGTGAGTACTTCACCATTTACCCGAGTTTGTAAACAGCGTTTGCATGAGTGCGTTCGCCTCTCACGGGAATAGCGACGCATTCATGGCAGCGGTTTCCATTTTCGCTTGATTTCCGAGGTAATCTAGCACGTGGGCGGAGCGTGTTTTTATTTCTTGTGAGGGATAAATGTCCTCAACTCAAGAGGAGATGGTTTGTGCTCATTGTGATGCATTCGCGGGACTACTGAGGGGGAGGTGAGTACTTCACCATTTACCCGAGTTTGTAAACAGCGTTTGCATGAGTGCGTTCGCCTCTCACGGGAATAACGACGCATTCATGGCAGCGGTTTCCATTTTCGCTTGATTTCCGAGGTAATCTAGCACGTGGGCGGAGCGTGTTCAGCTCCTGCGGGAGCTAAATGCATGCTGTGCGTTGCGGTGAGAATTGTCTGCACATTGCCCATGGTTCGCAGTTGATGGCCAGAACATGGAAAGGACCTGACTGGAAATGTTTTCCTATCAGTAATTTCCTTCTGTTTTTAGAGGAATTGTATCATGTGGATATCTGTCTGCAGTTGTTGGACAGATGATTTATATCATGTCCTTATCAGATAACCACATTATACTGCACTCCGGGAGCCATTTCTGAAACCTTTACTTTCATTCAGGGTTGTATGACTCTCTTTGCTCAAGTGTTGGCTTGCGAGCCTCCTTGATGCTTGGTCCTGAACTGAGCTGGTGCTCCTATACCCGCAGTTGGTAATTCCCCTAAAGCCACCCAACTGACCGTGGTTAGATAGGAGCCTCATGCACTTGCATTGCAGTCTCTCATGCTGGACCTATGATGTTTTGGTTAGTTTCTATGTCTCATAGAACTACTTACTGATGGTCCGGACCCAAGCGCTCTTCGGATTTTGCCTTCAGATTATATCCATGAGCTTGAATCATGCGCGGGAGCTGTGGTTGGTGAGTACGATCCATTTCATCTACTCTATTGCTAGTTTTATGTGAATTCACTAACTAGTTTTTCTCCGCAGTGCTACTTGGACCTGTCTCTGTTTTTCTGACTTTATTTTAGGGTTAGGACCTCTGCGAGCACCTCCCCTGCTGAAGTCAGAACCTCTCGCTGTTGACCGATTGTGGTGATGGTAGTCTGTACTGAGTCTGTACTGGATCCAGGCTGGATGATAGCCCTACATCTTCGGCTTAATGCTTACTGGACCACACAGCCAAGTCACTGGACTTCTGCGAGAGCCTCCTTAGCCATCAGGTCCCCAGTATAACGCTGCAACCTCAGGACTCGTGGGCCCTCCATTCAGGTTGAGCATTTTTTCAGAGTATAATGCTTCGTGACGTGCTCCCTGATGTCCTGGCTGGGTGTTTGCTTCGAGAAGCTGCCCCGGCCAGGACGTGCTACTCATGTCTTGCCCTGAGGGGTCTCCTGAGATTTGAGTCATCCTCTTAACCATCATGCACATTCTCTGAGCTAGAGCTGAGTGGCTTAACACTCCTTAACTCCACTCTGCAGTTCGATAGACGGTCAGGCCCACGGGACCTCCCTGTCACACTGCCCTTATGTTCGAACCAGTGAATCGCCCCTCCGCGGAGTGGGCTTGAGTACACTGCATTCCCTGAGGTACGAGTAAGATGAGTTTCTGCGGAAACCCTTCCTGAGTGCTTCGGCATGCTTCGTGACGTGCTCCCTGATGTCCTGGCTGGGTGTTTGCTTCGAGAAGCTGCCCCGGCCAGGACGTGCTACTCATGTCTTGCCCTGAGGGGTCTCCTGAGATTTGAGTCATCCTCTTAACCATCATGCACATTCTCTGAGCTAGAGCTGAGTGGCTTAACACTCCTTAACTCCACTCTGCAGTTCGATAGACGGTCAGGCCCACGGGACCTCCCTGTCACACTGCCCTTATGTTCGAACCAGTGAATCGCCCCTCCGCGGAGTGGGCTTGAGTACACTGCATTCCCTGAGGTACGAGTAAGATGAGTTTCTGCGGAAACCCTTCCTGAGTGCTTCGGCTCTGAGGAGCAGTAGCTCTTCATGCATGAATGGGTTATTGGGTCCTGTTGTTTCTACAGGTTTTCTTCGAGTCTGGTTAAATGGGACCCATGCTCTCTATCGAGGGAACATCTCAGGTTACGTATGTAACCATGGTTCCCTGAGAAGGGAACGAGACACTGTGTCCTCTAAAAGTTTCGCCATGCTTCGGACACGAGCTTCAGATGAAGAAGCAGATGACGAGTTTTTTCCGGTGCCCTTTTATACTGTGTTCAAGTCGGTAAAGGCGTCTTAGGCTGTCACCAGCCAATGCTATTGTCATGTTTAGATGTATTCTTCAGACACCGGTCACACCGAAGGCATTCCCCATAGTGACCTCTAGAGTACGCAGTGTCTCGTTCCCTTCTTAGGGAACCATGGTTACATGCGTAACCTGAGACGTTTTCCTGAGTTGTCCTGTGTTCGTTACAACCATAATCTATTCAAGATTCTATACAATCTATTCAAATATATGTTCATTTAGAGACAAAAGAATAAAGTTAATCACTGTCTATCACCATCAGTTTAATGTAGTGATTGTGTGCATTTGTTAAGACTGATGAATGGTACACCACAAAAAAAATCTTCATTTATCAAGTCTTCAATCTTCAGTTAAATGCCATCTAAATGAATTCTAATTTTAATATTTAAGATACACTTTCTAACAAACAAAATAAACTTTGTATGAAATAAATATAAAAAGTATTTTTATTTTAAGTTTCTAAGCAGTTGTACACATTTGACTTTTTTTTTTTTGCATTCAGAATAAGGTCCAGATCAATTTCAGCCTATAGGGATACCTGCATTGGATGGCCAATTTCACATGTATTTTGTGTATTTTCAAAATACAAAATACTGTATTTGTATCTAAATACATTTTTTTCTACACGTTATTTTGTATTTGTATTTTAAATACTTTTTCATGTATTTATGCCAATTTCACATGTATTTTGTGTATTTTCAAAATACAAAATACTGTATTTGTATCTAAATACATTTTTTTCTACACGTTATTTTGTATTTGTATTTTAAATACTTTTTCATGTATTTATGCCGATCTCTGCATGTAGCCAGTAAGTATTAACCTACTATCCTACAGTTTAAGCACTTTCATTGAATATCCGATTTAACCTAGAATGGAGACTGCTTAGATAAAATATAAGAAATTAAGCACCTAGAATACCCTAACAACCTCCTAGCAATGCTTAGTGACTATCCAAAACACTCAAGAAACCAACATGCTAAAATGACATTCATAAGACCTTAGAAATTGCATGGCAGTTGCCACCACCAAACCAACATGGAGGTGTGAATTTTGGATGGACAAGCACCACTCTAAACTCTGCAACTCCATGCCCTTCAAAACATAATTTTATCTCTCCTGAATATAATGGTTTGAATATACTTACTGTGGTTTGTGTTTTGACCCAGTCTCTTTGTACAGTTTCTTTTAACAAGTCTCATTTTGATTCTGAATCAGCAAGAAAAAACATCCTTTTATGCTTGATGAAATGGTCATCAGCAAAAATGCAGATGTCTTGACTTATGTTTAGACACTATATCAGTGCATTTTGTTCAGCTGAGGTTTGTCCAGCATCCTGCTCCCACTTTATATTCTTTCAATGTCTGAGGACAAGAGGAACACAGCATTCATCCTGCTTGATAAATTACCTCTTTGTTTTGATATGCTTTGTCCAACATCTGTATGTGCTGTTGTTATTTAAATTAATGATAATGCAACACTGTCAGCACATTTCCTCCAGTGTGGACACAGAACTCAAGTTTTGGCTGTGTGTGTCTATTTAGAAAGTACAAATCTACTGCCAACTGCTTTAATCCAAGTTAAGCAAACTTTAGAATAGTTCAGAAAAGATGTCATTCTAGATGCATACAGATGGGCCAAAGGCACAGACAGCAAAGAAACTGCCGAGAAGCATGTAAAGTCATGTCTGTCATTGAGACAGATCTCTCAAGATCTCTCTCTCTTCATAGTCACCCTTGTCAGATGTGATGTCATATCAGAACTTCTGTCCTGCTTTGTTGCACAGCTTTTATCTGGTGTCTAAAGGATTGCATATTCTGATAGATTAGTCTCACTGAGCAGTGTGCTTGTAGTGGGTTTAAAACTGACTAGACCTGTGTGCAATTGACCTATCAGTAAGCCAGACCCCCCCAGTTACTGTTGCTAACTCAGACAAACAAACAGAGATGCTAACTGTCTTACAATGACAGCTGTCAGTGTGAAAATCTTGTCCCAAGATGCTTTTGATAAATGTTGGGCATTCAAGAGGAACATTAAAGTTGGACTTAAATATGCCATGGAGTGATAT